TGCCAATGTTTCCCGATGATTTTGTATTGTATTAGTCCTCACGCTTATAAGATTGCAGTCACGTTCGCACCCGATAAAATCTAGAGCGATTAACAATCGGTATCGATAGATGAACAAGTATCGGAATAGTATTTCGTACCAAAATAACTTAATAGTTAACCCAAGCAGTGGACTCTAACAGGTTGAAACGAATGAATGAAAACATGGTTTTGTTTCACTTCGTGTTGTTTTTATGTGTAATGTTGTCAAGCGAGCAGGCGGTTCACCTGATGTTAAACGAACACCGTCGATCAATGACCATCTGAAACATCCTATGCCTTGCAGATGCGTTGACAACCTTTAAAAAAATGGACCTTGATTACCTCTCCAGAAGAAAAGGGACATTTTAATACTTCCACTTCACGCTGGTATTCTGCGTAGTAGTGCTACTTCCCCGGACGCGCCTGCCCATTCGTGCAACAGCAGAAGGTGCAGCGTGACCTTTCCCTGCCAGCCGTCATCTCACCTCTCACCTCATTCCGCGACATATCATTGAAGAATGATGTGCAGACACAATCCATCCAAACATTTCTCGGTCTCCCCCTAAGCTTTAAGCGATTAAAACGACGTATAAAAAATCTATGCTTCTATTGAAACGTTCTTAACTTTTGCGCATAAATACAAGAGATCTTAATAGAATATACGTAATAAAAAATGCATACAACGCCTCCCGGCACATCCGCGTCTCCGCCGATAATTGCGAATGTACAGAGATGACATCAGCCACCGCCTATGAGCTGAAATCATACCCGCATACCCAAACACACACGCGCACAGGAACTATGTACACGCAGACACACACAACAAGTTAGAAACGTGTTGCAAATGGCGTAGCGCCGTGTCAATCTAGCACATTCGATGTTCGTTTCGGCAAAAAACGACGGGGGAACTCGTATTATTGTTTCAAATAACTACGACTGGAAATTTAAAGAATTGTTATATTTTGTAGAGTTTTTTAAAGTCGTTGTTTTCTATTATAACTAGAAACGGCTATCGTAAAACGTTTCTGACTTCAAGTATGTTAAATGATGGGAACGAAGATATTAATGAAATTGCCATTACCAAATATTTCAAACGTCTCTTTTTATCGAATAAAATAATTTTGTAGGAAAAAGGATTTGCCATTAGTTGCCTAAAGGTTGTGAGGGAGGCTATTTTTCAAAAGGTTGTCAACGCATCTGAAATCCCCGCGTGTAGCAGGTGTCCATGGGCGGCGTTATTCACTTAACATCAGGTGAACCGTCTGCTCGCTTGTTAACTTTTCACATAAAAAAGGTGTAAAGGAAGGTGGCGAACGAAAGACAATTTACAACGGTGTATGATGTCAGTTAACAACAACAACAGGTTCTGCAGTTGGCATGCTTAGGAATAATAAACAGTTAACTCAATCACAAGACGAAACCATTTACTACTTTAGTGAGTTCGTGGTATAATTAGTATTATACCATTTCCTACTGTTGGGTAATATTGTTCTGTGTTGTAAGTACGTTTTACATACCTAAATTACTCGTGGACAAACACCCAGCTCCAACCATTATCTGTGAGGCACACAGATAGTTGTTTTATGTGGGATCCGAACCCACGAAGTCCGATGCCGCAGCCAATACCTTCGCAACTGCGCCGGGGAGTCATCATGACACCAGTTGGGGGTGACATAAGCGTTCACGAATGCCTATTGTTATTGTGTCAATCAAAGACCGCGCGATTGTTTGTCTGCTCGCTTGTTTGTCGGAGATCTCGTTCTCGGTTTACAATGGCTGGTCACATATATTGTGTTAGTTGGGTAGTGTATCAACTGAGTGTACCAAGCTTCATATGTTTCGTTTGTATACTATGTTAAAAAGTTTATAAATTTATAACGTGCCACTGGATATGAGTTGTTCTGTATTGATGAGATATTTTATACAAATCCGAATTGCACATTTCAACCTACTACTGTTGACATAAGTTATTTATCCCTTGCATATAAAGAGTTGAACATTATTTTCAACCGACTTCAAAAAAAGAGGAGGTTATGAATTCGGTTGTATTCTTTCTCGGAAGTCCGTCATTTGTTATCCAATTTAAAAAAAATATTTTTGCTTCCGGTTCGATTTGGCTCCAGTGTGGTCCCACGTTAATTTTGTTATTTCATATTGGAATTAGGTCCCCGGAGATAAAACTCCTCAAAATCAAATAGAAAATGCATAGAAATAAGAAGAGATATTTAAATTCGGTTTTGTTTCTTCTTCATAAGAAAGTTTTACTTGTCCTGTTGAACTTTTGCGATCACAACTGACTGATCGTCCTTTTCTGGAATTGCGTAAAGTTAGCGGTGATTGAGATATAAATTTGCGCCTGCAATCAGACCGAACTGTGCGGCCTCAGGCACTGACTTAGGTACAAAATTATGATGGCGTATCCTCGTCGAGGCACATCGTCCGATGATAACAGATTAACAAGAACTGGTCAGCGTGGTGCAGAAAGTGGTCGCCCAGTAGTAGCCTTCCCTTTTCCGCTCTTGCCGCATTCGCGGAAGGGGCGAAAGTTCGAGAGGCATGCTGATACTGGTCGATTTCAAAAGCCGTCAACGTAAATGTTCATTCGCCTCGATTGGAATTCTCTCACGATTGAGCTTCGGTCATCCTTACTATACTTCTCCTTACTAATATTATAAAAGCGAAAGTTTGTATGTAGGGATGGATGTTTGTAACTCTTTCACGCAAATACTATTCAATGGATTGTAATGAAACTTTACAATAATATAGCTTTTACATCAGAATAAGGCATAGGCTATAATTTATACATTTTTTTATGCGAAAAGTTATCTAACGAGCAGACGGTTCACCTGATGTAAAGTGAATACCGCCGCCCATGGACATCTGCCACACCCGAGGGTTACAGATGCGTTGACAACCTTTTGAAAATTGGGCTCCGGCTACCTTACTCACCAGACGGCATCCTTTACAACAGGAATAGTGAGTAGTTTAACAGAAGAACTTATAATCAATGATAACAGCTAACTCATGCGAAAGCCACCCACACTATAAGCTATACAACTACTGCTATTGGCCATGCATAAGTATCTTAAGTTTTTTCCACGACGAACTAATTATCCGCCCTGCAATCGAAGAATATGAGATTTGTATGTTCGGTGGCAACGTTGAAAAGGGGTGTCTTCGGTCTATATTGCGCTGGAGTGAGGTAGCCGAGTTCCAATTTATTGTAACGTGGGAATGCATAAACCCTGCGGGTGCTGCAAATGTCAATGGGCGGTGGTTATCACTTGTCATCAGGTGAACCGCCAGCCACCTTCTCATATAAAAAAGTGAAACTTCGAGTGCGACTCATTCACTCTCGCTCTGTCTCTTTCTATCCCCCCTCCCCTGGAGCGTTGAACGTTTCACGCAACCTTGTTGGAAGTCGCATTAGAAGTTTAACTTAAAAATCTGAGACACAATATCTATTGATGCTCCCTTCCGATGGGCTCGTCAATCATCGCCGGCGTCACAAGTTCAAACCGTCCCGACCCCCGGGCGATAGCTCGAGTATTTTTAGACCCGGCGTGTACGATTGAACATTTTTATATTCGCTTTGTTATGTTTTCCTTGCTTTTTTTCCCCCGCGCGATAGATTGGCGTTGTTGGTTGTTCTAAGTCGGTCTATTTACGATTGCGCTGTACTCTTGACAGATATCGTCACCTGTGTATACATCAGCCGTCAGGCGGTGTGGTCTAGTTCTTAGTTTCGGCCTAGATGTAATGTTACGTGGTATAGTTTTGTTTCGCTTGGTCGAAATTTCCAATCATATCTATTTTTTATTTTTCTGAGCAACAAAATCCACAGCCCTTATTTGTTTTACATTGATATCACATAAGCTTAACATATTTACATTATCTACTTAAAATATATAACTGAGACCAGTTTAGGGGCAAACGATATGTATTAGAGTAAATAAAATTATATGCAAGTAATATTCGGAGAAGATGTAAAAATCTAATAAATAAAGTCAGGATTAAAATCTTAATGCAACAAAAGCTTAAAGCGCACACACCTGTGGTTGCGTGACTATAAGTGTGTGTGTGTATCTCGAACTTACTGATATTATATAGAAGAATAGTTAATGATGCGAAGTTTGTAAGCAAAATCTTAAAAAACAAAATCGATAGCCCTCAACTGCTAAAATTTCTTAATTTCCGTGTTCCTTCACGAATTCCTCGCAAAGCCATCACACCGCTTTGTCCTCCATTACGAAGAACAGTTTTAGGTCGTAACTCTCCTTTTGCAAATTTTTTTGTAAAATTATCAACGACTACAGTGATCGCATTGATTTTCAATATGACTCTTTAGAAAAAATAAAAAAAATTATGTATAGCTCTTTGTCTAGTTAGCCAATAACAATATTAATCAGTAATCGTAAAAAAAGTTGTTTTGTTGATTACCCGTGCACAGTCTACTATTAAATTTAGTTTAGTTGTTTAATTTATTTTTGATTTAATTTTATAGTTTTATTTGTACATGTGGTGTTTATCTTTAAGTAATTGTTACACTAACATATATTTAAAGTTATTTATTGTAATGTTTAAGATGCATCCAGTGTAAACAATTGTTGATAAACCTCTTTAAATAAATAAAAAAAAAATTATCTATTGGCATCTGCTTAGTCGGTGAGAGGCAATGTGCAGCTTTTCGTGAGCTGCAGTATCACCACGAAAAGATCTCTTCCGTTTTAGCCGAAACTGGCCGAAAGATTAGTCAGCTGCGGGCAAAACTGATCGAGTGACTTGTCCTTCCCGACTGCGTTCAGTCTCAAGCTTTGATTGTGCACCTTAATCGGCATTGCATTGAGTTCAAAACGCGACGTCGGCGATGCGGAAGCGACCGGCCAAGGTTGCGTTGGATCTTGGCAACAACGAAAGGTCGTCAATGTCATTGTAATCGATCCCTAAACTGTACCAGCTAAAGTCCATTTTCCCTTGCAGGGGAGTCGAGACGTGAGGGTTCCACGGAGGAGCCGAGCGCCCCGGAGGCTGACTTGGACTCTGCTGACACCACAGCCAAGGAGCAATCTGATAAGGAGCACAAGTGAGTGCGCTCTGTATTAGAACTATTACATACTGTACAGTTAGTCGATTAGCGCCATCTGTGATATATTTTATTTCGATAGCTTGTAATGGTTCGGCTATTAACCGGCAGAGGTCTCTCTCTTTCTTTGAGCAAAGGGCTTGCATTGGCTACTTTTATATTGTTTTGTATTTTTTGTTTTTCCTCTCAATACATACTAAAAATATTTAATTATTTCGTAGTACACTTCTTTCGCCTTTTACTCGCGCCATCTGTCGTCGTCGTTGAGCTTTAGATAAAAAAGATAAAAACTAAAGTTTTAAATAAATATATTTGGATATAGATTTAAATGTTCGAATAGACTTTTTTATATTTGATGGTTTGCATTGTAATGTTTGTGACGAATATCAAGTTGTCAATTTTCATTGATTAATGTAGTATACAAATTACAATAAAAGTTTCGGAGACTTTAACAACCATCATAGCTAATGGTTCCGCCATGGCTTCGACGCCTCTGTTAATGTCCTCTACTTACCTTGCGTTTTGTTTTGTATGATAAAATTTAGGTGCTGAAAAAGTAAACATTCAGGTGCTGACTGTCGATGTGTGTCCCATGTGTCCTGTGTATAGAGATCGCCAACTTGTGCCTTTTTATGTCAGAAGGTTGCGAGCGAGCTTGCGGTTCACCTGATGTTAAGTGATAACCGCCGCCCTTGGACATTTGCAACACCCGTAGGGTTGCAAATGCGTTGTCACCTTTCGACGGACCTGCCCGTTCGTGCAACAGCGAAGACTGTCGCGTGGCTCCATCACGGTTCCGTCTAAGCGATGTGATGGAACCTGTTGCGTTTCCTTCGCAGCTGGCGCGCCGGCGGCGGGGGGCGGGCGGTGAACAGGGCCGAGAGCTGCCGCGAGAGGGACGCCCCGCGGCGGGGCAAGCACCGCAACGCCTCGGACCCCAACCGGCTGACAGCACATCACAACCAGTAAGTCATAATAATAATAATATCAGCCTATTGCCGTCCACTGCTGAACGTAAGCCTCCCCCAAAGTGCGCCAACTGTCCCGGTCCTGCCCGCATCCATCCGCTGCCCGCCACCTCTCTTAAGTCGTCAGTCCACCAGCAAATGTCGCCATCTGTATCGCCATCTGTATCGCTCTAACTCTCGGCTTGATTTACGCGCTGATCGCACCGCGCGCCACAACGCGTAAGTAGCGCCATCTATATCGCTCTTACTCTAGATTTGTTTTACGCGCCGGGCTCACCGCACACCACAACTAGTAAGTGGCGCCATCTATATTGTTTTAAGTACATCTAGTACGCATCGGTATCAACTTATCGTCATAGGCGTTTGGATTGTGGTTTGGAAGGTGATAGTTTTATACAATTAGCAAATGCACCCACTAGTAAAAATAATATGTATATTATTTTTACTAGTAGGTTCATTTGCTAATTGTTGCTTTAATTCCGTGATTTTTCTTCACGTTGATTCAAGATTCTAGGCTAAAATAACTCGCGCACATATCGCTCCGGATATCTTCAAGCCAAAAGTCCGGTGTTTTGGTTTTATGAAATGATCACGGAGCTGTGGTGAACATTTAACATTTGTTTTAGAAATATGTATATTATACAAGTTTCAACCCGCGTCTCTTTTGTTACTTTTAAAGTGTATTACGTGTTTATCGAGTACACAGCCAATCTCCATGGCGTTTCCTTTGTAAAGGGAACCAAATCAATTGACTGAAATTATATGATTAAGTACGGATTACGTTTAAACAAGCATAACGTACAGCTGTAATGTTTGAAATTGGAAAACGTCTTTACCTAACACAATACAACTGTTGAGATTGTAATAAATACACTTCACAGTATGTTAACTATATTTAGATTTTTTTTATAAGCGCCATCTGTTGGTTGAATGCGACCGTTAGTCTACTGTCAGTAGTTCTGCAAGCGTCCAGGGCGTCGCGGAAGCTTTACATTTTATGCGTGCACTGTGAACGATTAAGCTTGTAGCCCCCACTAGATGGGGTGACGACCTGTGCAAAATTGCGGGAAGCCGATGGATGCAGGTGGCTCCGTACCCTGCTTCGTGGCAGTCTGTGGCAGAGGCTTATGTTTAACAATGGACTCAAACAGGCCGAAATGATGACAATAATGATGAAGCTTGTAAATAGTCCCCGAACCGCGAATGGTCAAAATGATTACGGTTGCGCTCAGAGTTGGCAATTGCGGCAGTACAAGCTTTTAAAACTAAATATCGCATTTAGGTGGGATCGGTGCATCATGTGAATCATGTTTGTTAATGGTTTTTGACTAGGTCAATCAACTTCATCTTGAACTCCTTGGGAATAACTCCTAGGGAATTGTACTAAAACTGACTTACGACTTTGATACTAATACTAAAAACCGTCTGTATTTACACTTATCGTCCATGAAAGAATACCTAAATAGCTGTGGACTGTGCATGTGGCATCGCGTGGCATTTAATTACGGGCTATTGCACCGAATTTATTTAGTCGGGAGTTGGCAACCTTTTATAGTAATCAAAAAAAGGTTTCGGAGAATTTAATTATAAAAATGGTAAAATATGGATTTAGAACATTACAAATTATTTTATTAAGAGGTAATTTTTTTTTATGGGAGACGGTGGACAGCGAACTAGCGGTTCACTTGATCTTAAGTGATAAGTAGTGCCCATCGACATTTGCAACACCCTTAGGGTTGCAGATGTGTTGCCAACTTATAGTAAAGTAGAAAGTAAAATTGCTCAGGGGTTAGCAACCTTTAGTAGTAACCAAAACAGGACCCCAGGAATTTATTTATAAAAAAAGGGGAAATCAAAAGATAACATATGTGTCAGAATCTTTAAAATTCATTATGTACCATGACCATAATTCAAAATTTCTAAGTATAGGCAATTTCATCAAATTTTGGCATAAATGTCGAGTTCTCATCGGTGATTTCTGTGACATTAAGTTCTCGAAATTTAACGGTTTGAAGTCAACGATGAAACGGTCGAATTAGTTTCGTTTAACGAATCGCCGTAGAAACATTCCAACGCCCCGAATAGACTAGTGGCATAGCGGAGACTTCCTCGCGCTTTATACTCTTGTTTCCACTAAAACCGTCCCCGAACTTAATTCGAATATCTCGTGCAGACATCGAAAAGTCTTACGTGTGACGCGTTCAACGTAAAATGGACTTTAACTGTTGGCCTTAGCTTTAGTATTGCTTTAACAGTGCGGGTGTTGTAATTATCCGTACAAACGATTCTCTCCTCTAACCCATCAGCTTAGAGTTCTATCAGACATTTTGATGGTGTTAATTTATTCAATTTGCCGCAGTGATTACGAAACCGTGTCTACTCTGGGTTCATTATCCGTTTTTTTTTTTGCTTCTTTTTAATATCATTCTTTCAACCTACGCTATGAAATCAATATTGTTTTTACTAGCTCTTGAAACAATATTTCTTTGAAAAGTTATTGAAATAGCAGTAAAATTGTATTAGTATATTTGTACTTGTAGAAAACTGAACGTATGTCTTATCGTTTTCTAGAAAACGTGTTCAACCTAAGTTTGTTCTAGAAAAGTATTGGAATAAGTATTTGATTTTAATCAGTGTTTTCCTGTATTGGAAGGTCAAATTTAACTATTAAATTTTTTGTTAATTTCCTACATACATATGAAGTGAGGTGACGGGAAATTCGGTTTCAATTAAATGTTACGAATTACATTCCAGAGAACCCTCAAATTTCGCCCTATACGGCAGATAAAGGTACGAATTGCACTCGTCGTCTGTCGTTCTGTGATTTCGTACTTATAGCTACGTCTAGCTAATAAATGGCAATCGAAAGCTGAGCTCTCCTTTGTTCAAGAGGCCCTGTTTGTGCGGCTCTCGCTTACTTTGGTCTTCCTACTTCAGCCGCGGCCGAGGTGACGCGCCGATTTTCAGTTCCGCGCAGAGAGCGATAGCTGACGCACTGCAGTCAACCTCTTGTGTTGCTCGCGAATTATAGTTCCTATCAAAGAACGAAAAGTTAGTTACTTAGTTCCAATAAACAATTAGCAAGTTAAAGAACGAACCGTGTACAGAGTATAGAAGAAAAGAAGAATCTATAATTGTTTTAGTACTGTACTTTCGTGTTGGTATACGCTTGACTTGATTAATTGTGCCTACACTAGCCGATACTGTGACTTCGTCTGGGTTGCTTATTAGTTATTATAATATTGTCAACTACACCGCTCGCCCAAATTCTCCATGACAAATATATCATTGAACACGTAGTGTTTGAAACCTCCTTTTTTCTTTAAATGAAAATTTTACAATTTTTTCAGATAAGAGACATGTGTCTCAGAAATAGAACTAAGCAGACTTATTTCTAATCTGTCCAGTAGTTTTACCACGATGTGCACAACGGTATACCTTTATATCCTTATTTATATAGATTGTAATATCGAATGTTATATCCTGATTGGTATCTCATAATTATTGAACCTTGATAATAATGCGTTAAGAAATATGTTTAAATGTCCGATACAAAATTGCCAGAATAGTATCCTTGGAGTGATTTTTCGCAAAGCCCATTTGTCTCTTAATGTGATTGCCTGATTTTACCGATATATTAAAACATACAGTCGCGTTTTAATGGTCAGTTTTATCGATAGTTATGATATAATTGTTGTTGAACACTGTTTGTGTTATCGGTTCTTAAACAAGTACATTAAATGTTGCAGCGGTTTTTAAATACAGTGACATGTTTGTATGCTTCCAATGTAATAGACAGGTTTTAATATCCATCGTTTCCTTGAACAAACATTTTTTTCTTGAGGTGCTTATTGAATTTATTGTTCTCATCAAATGGCGCATTCGAGGGAATTACTATTTTCTGTTTATTATTAGGGAGAATATAGGTACTATCGACTTTTATAACGCTTGTCTTATGATTGTACAAATCGCACGTCTGTTAGTGAAACAAGATGTAATTAAAATATTGAATGTCATTCAGCAATACATCGTATGTGATAGTGTCCGAACGCTAGATTTCAATTCAATATACTCGAGCAACCCGAGTTCTAATCTCGGTGCCGGCACCAATGAGATTGTTAATTGCGAATTAAGCGCTGAATTATTTATTACGCGGTCATCGGTGAATTTTTACGAAATAATAATTAAAAAAAAAATGTTTCGAATATAGGTGAAGTCCGCCAATCCGCAGTGGGGTCGCGAGTTGGACTACGCTCCGATACCCTCTGTACAGAGGAGGCCTTGCCTAGCAGAAGGCGATGTATAGGCTGTTATTTTACTTTTTTACGTTAGATGTACGCATACAGGTCAAAATAATTAAAACGTTAAAACTATGTGACGAGAGAAGTTTTAAGCATGAGTAAACAATGATTTACTGTTTTTATTTTAATTTTTAGATGCGTTTATCGCTAGGGAAAACTCTGTCCTACAATTCCATACGATTCTCCCGTTTTCGAAGATTTGAATTTCACGTCGAGAAGTAGATATGTCTTACGGTACGGACAATCGAGCAACAACACTGCATCGTGTGGGCGTGTGAATGCACAATGAGTGGGACCACAATGGACGATAATGTCTCAACTGTATCGGCGAGGTGTCACCCACGACTCAGGTGCATTGATTCTTGAAGGTTACAAGGCGAATGAATGTCGTCAGCGTTGTGTTTTCACCACGCTGTTCCACACCCGAGTCTGTTTGATAGACAGCGTTGTCTTGTCCCAATGAACTACGATCTAGAAAGATCTAGAATCTAGAAAGTTTCTCCGTTCGAAAACATTCCCCCCCCTTACTGTGGGATACCATTATCCTGTCTCGTGTGGTAATCGAATTCACGACATCCGGCGCCGAAGCTTGAACTAATAACACACTCGAGATCGCTCTCCCGTTGCCAATCTTCAGGAAGCTTGTCGCTTGCCTCAACCAGACATTTCCACTCTCCACTTCACGCCGCTCCTCTG